GATTTGGGGGACCCCCACTCACCCCGCCTGCACCTTCTCCTTGCTCAGGGCCTCGATCATCTTCGCCCCCAGATCGTAAATGGTTTCCATTTCTGTTGTTTTCAGTGTCAGCTTCCCCACCTTCGTCCCCTGCCAGGAAGAGGAAGGTTTGGGGGTCCCTGAGGGGATTTTGGGGTTCCCCGAGGTGATTTTGGGGTCTCTGAAAGGATTTTGGGGTCCCCAAGGGGATTTTGGGGTCTCCTCTCACCGTGCCGGTGGCCGGGCGGTCGATCTGGATCTCCACCACCTCCCCCTCGATGATCTCCGTCTCCTCCCTGTGAGGGAAAAAAAGGGGGAAAACCCCCCAAAAATGAGAGGGGAGACCCCAAAATAGGGGTGGAGACCCCAAAATTGGGGTGGGGACTCTAAAATCTGAGTGGGGAACCCCAAAATCTGAAATCAGAGTGGAAAAACCAAAACACAAAGAGGAAAATAAAACCAAGAATCATAAACACAAAATACCGTCTTGGTACCCCAAAATTTGCTCAGAGAGGACCTTGAAAGTGGGGAGAGGACCCCAAAATTGGGGAGAGGACCCCAAATCTGAATAGGACACCCCAAAATCTGAAACCACGGTGGGAAAACCAAAACAAATGTCAAAGAGAAAAAAAAATTAGAAGTCAGAAACACAAAATATGGCATTGGGATCCCAAAATTTGCTGGGAGAGGACCCTGAAAGTGGGGTGAGGACCCCAAAATTGAGGAGAGGACCCCAAATCTGACCGAGACACCTCAAAATCTGAAACCAGGAAAACCAAAACATACTTCAAAGAGAAAAAAAACAACAAGAGGACCCTGAAAGTGGGGGGAGGACCCCAAAATTGGGGTGGAGAACCCAAAATTGGGGTGGAGAACCCCAAAATTGGGGTTTGAACCCCAAATCTGACCGAGACACCCCAAAATCCGAAATCACAGTGAGAAAACCAAAACAGATCTCAAAACGAATGGGAAAACCACGAACGGGAGGAACAAAAAAAGGTGTGGGGACCCCAAAATTGGGGGGGAGACCCCAAAATTGGGGTGAGGACCCCAAATCTGAACAGAGCACCCCAAATTATGAAACCACAGTGAGAAAACCAAAACAGATCTCAAAACCAACATGAAAACCATAAACGGGAGGAACAGAAAAAGATGTGGAGACCCCAAAAAGAGAAGTGGGACCCCCAAAATTTGGGGGGGACCCCCCGAAAGGGCCCCGTACTTGATGCGGACGCCGATGGAGCGGCGGAAGGCCTGGGTCAGCGCCTCGGTGCGCGACATCTCCAGAGAGAAAATCTCACTGCCCGCGATGGCCGTGAACGGAGTGTCGGGGCCCAGAGCCTGCGCCATCCCTGCGGGGAAAAACGGGGAATTTGGGGGTTTGGGGGGATTTTGGGGGGTTTTGGAAGGATTTGGCGGGATTTTTGGGATGATTTTGGGTATTTTTGGGGTATTTTTGGGGTCACACACCCATGGCAATTGCCGTTTCCTCCATCCCAGGCTGTCCAGTGATGAGGATGGGATTGGGGATATTTTTGGGATAATTTTGGGTGTTTTTGGGATAATTCTGGGTATTTTTAGGATATTTTGGGGATAATTTGGGTTTTTTTGGGGTCACACACCCATGGCAATGGCCGTTTTCCCCGTCCCAGGCTGTCCAGCGATGAGGACGGGATTTGAGGGTATTTTTGGGATAATTTTGGGTACTTTTAGGATTTTTTCGGGGTCACACACCCATGGCAATGGCCGTTTTCCCCGTCCCCGGCTGTCCAGCGATGAGGATGGGATTGGGGATATTTTTGGGATAATTTTGGGTAGTTTCAGGGTATTTTTGGGATCACACACCCATAGCAATGGCTGTTTTCCCCGTCCCAGGCTGCCCAGCGATGAGCACGGGATTGGAGGTATTTTTCGGATAATTTTAGGTATTTTTGGGATGATTTGGGGTACTTTTAGGATTTTTTTAGGATCACACACCCATGGCAATGGCCGTTTTCCCCGTCCCTGGCTGTCCAGCGATGAGCACGGGATTGGGGATATTTTTGGGATATTTTCGGGATAATTTTGGGTATTTTTAGGGTATTTTTAGGATCACACACCCATGGCAATGGCCGTTTTCCCTGTCCCAGGCTGTCTGGCGATGAGCACAGGATTTGGGGTATTTTGGGGATAATTTTGGGTATTTTTGGGATGATTTGGGGTATTTTTAGGATCACACACCCATAGCAATGGCCGTTTTCCCCGTGCCAGGCTGTCCAGCGATGAGCACGGGATTTGAGTGTATTTTTGAGATAATTCTGGGTATTTTTAGGATATTTTTGGGATAATTTGGGGTATTTTTGGGGTCACACACCCATGGCAATGGCCGTTTTCCCCGTCCCAGGCTGTCCAGCGATGAGCACGGGATTGGGGATATTTTTGGGATAATTTTGGGTATTTTTGGGGTTTTTTTGGGATCACACACCCATGGCATTGCCGTTTTCCCTGTCCCCGGCTGCCCAGCGATGAGGATGGGATTTGAGGGCATTTTTGGGATAATTTTGGGTATTTTTAGGGTATTTTTGGGGTCACACACCCATGGGATTGCCATTTTCCCTGTCTGCAGCTGCCCGGCGATCAGGACGGGATTTGGGGTATTTTTGGGATGATCTGGTGTTATTTTTGGGGTTTTTTCGGGGTCACACCCCCATGGCAATGGCCCTTTTCCCCATCCCAGGCTGTCCAGCAATGAGGACAGGATTTGAGTGTATTTTTGGGATAATTTTGGGTACTTTTAGGATTTTATTTGGGTCACACACCCATGGCAATGGCCGTTTTCCCCGTCCCCGGCTGCCCAGCGATGAGGATGGGATTGGGGATATTTTTGGGATAATTCTGGGTATTTTTGGGATGATTTGGGGTATTTTTAGGATTTTTTATGATTACACACCCATGGCAATGGCCGTTTTCCCCGTCCCTGGCTGTCCAGCGATGAGGACGGGATTTGAGGATATTTTTGGGATAATTTTGGCTATTTTTAGGGTATTTTTATGATCACACACCCATGGCAATGGCCGTTTTCCCCGTCCCTGGCTGTCCAGCGATGAGGATGGGATTTGAGGGTATTTTTGGGATATTTTTGGGATAATTTTGGGTATTTGGGGGGTTTTTTAGGATAACACACCCATGGCAATGGCCGTTTTCCCCGTGCCAGGCTGTCCAGCGATGAGCACGGCGCGTCCGGCGATTTTCCCTTCCTTGATCATCTCCAGGATGACGCCGGCGGCGCGCCGGGCCGAGAGCTGCCCCACCATTCCCTGCGACACCTGGGGGGGACATGGAGAGGGTGAACCCCCAAATTCCGGGGCTGCAGACCCCCCCCAAAAGGTGCAGACCCCTCCCCAAATCCGGGTACCTGTCGTGGTTCCAGGGCATCGTCCAGGCCCAGCCCGCGGATGTGGGAGTGGGC